TCTTGCCTTAAAATTGTTAAAGCTGTTCAAAGAAGTATTATGACCTGACTATTAAGTATTATTAAGTATTAAGTATTATTAAGTATTAAGACCTGATTATGTCTTAATATTATTTCATACTCACAATGTATCATTTGACTAGCATTTGCTTCATTAGGAGCATATATGAATCACTATCACAAGTCATCATATCAATCTTTTTAGTATAAACTCCTGAAAGTAATATCAGATTACTTCTGATTGTCTGTTTGAGCTGGACTTTTGCCAGGCCATAGCATGAGACAACAATCAACCTCTAGATTAGCTGTTCATGGGTTAGTTGTCTTTTCTTATCCAATTACCCATATCCTAGGGAGTCAGGGACACCATGGTCCATTGTCCAAGTAATGGATTATGGACAAGGGATTATGTACACCTGGAACAATGATCAACTTACTGTCATTCTGAAAGTATCATCAGTTACCTCATGAAAATTTAGGGGAATTCAGTGAAGCTAAAGTTGAGATTCTTCATAAAATTTTGGATTTAAGACTTGAACATTTATAGTCTGCAAGTAGCAAGTAATAGCTACAATTCTCTCAGCATTAAGAGCATACTTATATATACTCTTTATAACAGAATTGTAAAATCATGGATTTAAACATGTGCTCTTTGAAGCATCTAGTTAAGATAAATAGTAGAATGAAATAAAAATTGGATCCTTTGAGCCACTCACTGTCTCAAATAGTCTCTCAACCACAAAAGGTTGAAGAGGGTCTATTTGAGGTAAATCTCAAAACCTTCTTAGAATATGATGCTGAAACCTATGAGGAATACAGAATTGGATTCTTCAAAAGATTCTGATAAAGTATGTAATCTAAACTGAAAAATCTGCAGTATTTGTTCTTAACTGCTCACAAATTAATATTGTAAACAAAGTTGAATATCATAATGCTGTTAATGAAACAGGATATATACTTTTCTTTTCTCTTTTTTAAACTGCCTTTGCCACAGGGAAGTACAAATGAGGTAAGTTAAATTTTTTTTTTAATTAAGAGCTACATATTTGTAAACATTATATTATTTTATTAATATAAACTGACTAGCCATTAATGGATGTCTTAATATAGATTAACTACTACTGCTATTTCTTCTAACATTTAAATTTTTAATTGTGAATTTTAACATGGTTTTAAAATGTTTAACTTATTCCAGACATTATGGTTTAATTTGCATAAAAATACAAGAACTGGTTATCATAAATGAATGTTTGATTTGTTTCCTGAATGTGTAGGAAATTTCAAAATTCTTAAGCTGTGACATGGTAGATTCTGCTCTATTACAAAATGAAACAAGTACAGTTATAAGTCTGGGGAAATTTAAATGCTGGAGGGTATTTAAACGAAACTACAACCTTTAGAGTTTGTTTTTAGCTGGGTGTGGTAGCTCTTGCCTGTAATCTCAGCACTTTGGGAGGCCAAGGCAGAAGGCTCACTTGAGGCCAGGAGTTCAAGACCAGCCTGGACAACAGAGCAAGACCCTGCCTCTAAAAAAGAAAGAAAGAAAAAAAAAAATTAGCTTGGTGTGGTGGTGGCACACCTGTAGTTCTACCTCCTCAGGTGACTGAGGTGGGAAGATTGCTTGAGCCCAGGCCACAGCAGCCTGGGTGACAAAGCAAGACCCTGTACCTTGAAGGAAAAAAAAAGGAATTTGTTTTTGTTTTTCACTTTGGCTTTTGAGTGACAGTTACCCATACCAATTTAAGCAGGTTTCAGTCCAGGATGCATTCTTTCTTGGTATACTATAAGACTTGACCTGTATATTAGTGTTCATTTCGCCTACTGCACATGTGCAAAACAATGTATCTGAGGAAAGAATCTTAGCTTCCATGAAGGAATCATCTGTTACACTAAGAAAAAGTCTCTCTCTTGAGTCAGTCATTTAGGTCATTATCTTCAGGAAGCAAAGCTGATCTTGAACAACTACAGAGATAGTATATAATTCTTTCCTCAGTTTCTATTACAGCATGTAAATATCTGGATTGTGTCCTCTAATCAAATACCAAATACACTTAATATTTATAAGTCAATAAGGAGTTATTCTGTTTAAAATTTGGTAAAATGAATTCACTAAAAAAGTAAAAACAAATTTCAACTTTGTAAATCAAATCTTAAGAAAAAAAAATCTAAGGTTTCAAGACAACTAGGATTAAACTGAATGTATTAGAACCAGAATATAACAGAACCGAGACAATACATATTGCACCAATATGCATTCACAGAACTAAAGATGGTACCATTCAAACTTAATGACTTAAGAAAATCAAAAGAAAATAGCTATACAGATTCACAACTGATAAAAAGTAATGGAATTTCCTGGGAATAGATTAAAGGATCCTAAGCTTTTATCCAGGCTTTTAAAATGTTCAAAGATTCTTTACAAATCCAGAACTAAATCAGACCAAGTCATTAGTAATGCAGTGTTCAGCATGTGAAAGTCACAGGAGGGGATGAAATCTGAAGACACTAGCTGGGGGAGGGGGAGAATCATAAAAATATTTATGAACACATATAAAACAGTATACAATACACAAAAATTCATATGATTTAAACACTCTTAAAAGGACACAAAGAATGATCGAGGTAGTTTTAATGAGGAAACCTGGCTTTCTGAGATAATGTTTCTAAATAAGGTTTTGTAGGATATGAATTAACCAATGGAAACAAGGAAAGAGCATGTCAAGCAAGGGATCATAGTGTGGTAGGGGAGGGGCAACATATATACTTAGCTGCACGATGGAGGAAATGATGGAGAACAAAATTGGTCCCATTCTGGAAAACATATTGGAAGCCCAGAGAGCAAGTGGACTAGCTATGTATCATAAAGTAGTTATTGGCAGTCAGAAGTTATGACTTCTTATAAATAATCTAAAACTGATAATATTCACAATCTGAGTTATTACATACCTCTGGGGCATAATGGTTGGGAAGCTCTCCTCCAAGAGGTATGCAAGGTAAGGAGTTCAAAACTAGCCTGAGCAAGAGCGAGACCCCGTCTCTACTATAAATAGAAAGAAATTAATTGGCCAACTAATATATATAGAAAAAATTAGCCAGGCATGGTGGCACATGTCTGTAGTCCCAGCTACTCGGGAGGCTGAGGCAGCAGGATTGCTTGAGCCCAGGAGTTTGAGGTTGCTGTGAGCTAGGCTGATGCCATGGCACTCACTCTAGCCTGGGCAACAAAGCGGGACTCTGTCTCAAAAAAAAAAAGGGGGGGGGGAAGAGGTATGCAAGGTAAAAGGAAACATAGTTTGAGAATAAAACATTTACCATGAAGATCAATCCACAAAAGTGATAACACACACAATGAAGAGTTGAAAATACTTTTGAGTTTTAAGATATTAGTTATTAAGTTATATTAATCTTATATAAAGGAATGATATAAAGATTTAAAAATCAGCATGTTAAATTTTATATAGTAGAATAAATTAAACTAAAAGGGAAAAATTTTATATGTGTGTGTTTAATAAAATGTTTTATAATTTTGATTCTGGTACTCTAGGCTTTATACAAGCTCTACAGTGCGGCAGCAACTCACAGACATCTGTATCATCAAGCTTTTCCTACACCAAAGTCGGAATCTACTGAACAATCTGAAAAGAAGAAAATTTAATCCAAATTTTAAAAAATACAGGTGCATGACCAATTGTCAATTAAATATTCAGTTTTATGTCTCCATGCAAACATTCAAAGTGCTTCCATCAGAACAGAGTAAAATGCCAAACACTTCTGAAAACTGCAAAATGGATTGGTTCTTTTATTTCAGTGTTTAATAAGAAATGTACGTATGCATGGTTATGTCATTTTGTTAACATGTACAATATCCTGATTTTTGTCTCCAAATATGCTGTTATAATTTAAAGTATTTGTCTATTTTTGATAACAGTATATGTGTTCTGCTTGAATTTACTAAATTCTACTACTGGGTTATAATTAAACCATGTAGTGATACTATTCCACGTTTGGATATGCTCATTTAATTTCTACAGAAAAAATTTTAAATGATCTCACATAGCCACTTGTAAAAGCATAGCATCATAACTCAGCAGGCTTGATTTAATCGATATCATCTTACGTATACTGTGATCTCTTAGTTATTTTTAAGTACATTAAGAGCTTTTCAGTTGCTTTACTGTATATATATATTGCTTCTTTTACATGATTTAATATAGAATATAAACTTCCTAATCAAAAATGCACAAAAAAATCACTTTGTATATGTATTTAAGTTTCACTGCATTGTATATTTTTTCATTTGGTACACAAAGAATGTATTCTTCATAGGTTTATTCTTTTAATATGTGAACTATTATTAAAGTTTACTCTGGTTCCTAAGATTAAAAACAAATGCTTACTGAATTTGAAAATGTCTGGGAGGTGTTGGTACAGAATGATGACTCTTTTTTTTAATTCAAGATGCATTTTCTTTAATGTTGATGGCATTACCAATTTAAGTTTCCATTTTAAGAAACATGCTAATCCCTTTAGGGACCTTCCAATTCTTTTAAACTAGTTTTCTATATATTATCTCTAGTGACTGAAATCTCTAATGGAGTTTCACTGAGCAGACCTCTTAAAGAAAAAAAAAGATGTGGTAATAAAAAATGAAAAGTAATACTTCTCATATAGGAGGTTCAAAACAGTGATTTCTAAAGGCTGTCTTAGAATTGGCTGTATCTTAATTATATTAAATGGCAGTATAAAGTGAAGAGTAATAGGAAAGAACAACTAAGATAGAAGGGTATGTGTAAACATATAAGATATATAAACTTACATCTTAGAAAAGTTTGATCATAAATTCAGCAAATTATCTCTTCCCAATGATAAAATTTTATTAGCCATACCTTCATTTTTCAATACCCTTTTCTTTATATTGCTTCCTTTGCCTTTGGGCCTTCTGAACAGAAAAGTCAAATATTTATAGCACTATGTCTAAAACATGGACTCAAAAACCACACATTTAGTTTCCACAAAAATATATTTAATAAGCTTGTTATATAAAATGAAACACTTAACATTTTCAACATTTCATCAATAATTCAAACTTATCAGTAATTCAAACTCACTGATATCTGAGTGCTTTGTATTTTAGAAGACTACCTAAACTAAAAATGAATTTACATATTTACAACACATGTAAATAGAACTGAAGAACTAATTCAACTAATGTTGAAATTCACAGAATTCTAGAGATTTATAGCCTAGAAGTATCATAAATTTGTCTACAATCAAATGTACTGTGCTAATTATGAAAAATGCCTTAAGTACTATTAAACCAAAAAGGAAAAAAATTGGGAGAGAAATAAATGGTTTTAAACTTTGTCAAATGCTTAGAAGATAAAGTAATATAAAATCAATTTAATAACCAAAATTTTTTATTGAATCCCTGATTGTCATTTTTGGCAGCTTAACCCAGTCTGTCAGTACACAATGTGCTATGCTGTCAGGAACCCTCCTGTGTCATCAATACTGCTCTTAAGTGCAGTAAGAGCTCTGGCTGAAAATGAGCAAGTAATAATATTAGCAACTTCAAGTGCTGCACACACCTTCCCCACATAGGCTAAGGTCTTATGCTTATATGTATTCCTGAAAGATTTAAAGGCTCTTCATCTTTCTATACCAAAAAATACTGTCTCAACATGCTTTTAAAAGGGTTCCTTACATGGGGGGGACAACAACATACATTATATATAGAAATTTATCACAATAAAGTTTCCATCTCCTATTTTGAACTACATTATGGTAATACTTAAACTATCCCATTTCAGACAATGGTCCACACTAAAACAGTAAACACCTTTTTAAAAAATACTGCATAGGTTCTTTTTTTTTTTTTTTAAAAAAAGGTTCTGCTGCTGTGAGTTAACAAGTGATCATTTCCTGTTTAATATCTCGTCTTAATGACATTTCTTGCTGCATTTTCTCCATCAGGAATATTCAAAGCAGTTTCCTAATACACAGCAATTGAAAGTTTTTGCCATGTTCGCTCTTAAAATGATAAATTCATTTTTTTGTTCAATAAAAGAAAATTTACAATAACAAAATACATGTAAAATTAGAATTTTATAATTTCTAAAAAGTAAGCTGCCTTTATTAACCAAAGTACTTGTTTGCAGTGTTTTATCTGTGAAAATATTTTAAAACTTTTACAAAACTTAAATTTTTAAAAAATTAACTTAAAAATTCTTGCCATGTTGTTGGGCATACCACTGCTGTCTCTGCTTACGGTTTTCCAACTCTGAGAGAAGAGCCTGTCTGTATGCTTCATACATTTTAACAATCTGTTCCAGTTCTTTCATGAAGAGCAACTTTAGCATTCCCTGGTATGTATCCAGGTCAGCCAGCTGGAAGAGTTCCCACTTCAGAATGTGGTCATATCTGTTTGAAAACACAGTCATACATATATTCACAACACATACATAAACATGTATACACAGCAATAAACTAGTCTATTTTTAAAAATATCAACTTTATTACAACTAAACAAACCATAAGTTTTAATTAAAAATAACTGAGTTATTAACCACTGTTTAAATACACTATTTTTTTTAGAAGCAGTGAGAAAACTGTTAATATTACTTCATTTCTTATTTAAGTTAAAGAATACCCATTTCTTTTAACTGCCACACACAAAAAAAGAAACTTTTCCTTTGGACCATAGTGTTTTATTATGAAAACAGGATAAAAACTCGAGTGTAATTTAAAGGTAAACATAAATAGAAAAACGAAATTTATTGAATTCTATTCATTTAATCCATGTTTTTAGAATTAAATTGTCAATATTAATTGTAACAATAACAGCATCAACAAGATTTTATATATGCTTCACACAACCGAGGGGTTGAAACTAGAGTGAGTTAAATATAACTCTCATGGCAATTAATGTGTTAATTATTTGAGTTATTCTAATATTAACACTAGATAACTATGAACACAGATTTCAAACTACAATGGTTCTATAATTTCGGAAGAATACATTCTATGCTGTTCGTAAGTTCATCCAAAGTTAATTGTCAGGAAATTAACAATACTTTAGATGGGACTGTGCTTGCAAATGATAATGCATAAAAATGGGCAAGATCATTTGTGTCATCAGTGTTAACAGATTTCTTTGAGGAATACTGTTCACTGCAGTAAACAAGGATCCAAACAGAAGGAGGAGGAACAAAGAGGAATCATCAGTCATGGGCTAAGTATTCCTAAGGCTGGTACATAATAGTGTTTTTAAAAAACAGAAAAACTCAAGAAGGAAAGAATAAACTGTTTTCAAAATGCATAAATAAGTAGACTGTAGAATACTCCACAGTGTGGCAAAGGACTCATGTAAGATTATATTTACATATATCTTGGAAGGCCTTTAGTAGTAGATAACTGCTTACACAAGGTGGCCACCGTACCATGTACTTTAAAATGCCTTATCTCTTTTAAGCCTCACCACACAGAGTAAGGTAGATAAGATTATTATTCCCTATGTTTCAATAAAGGAAAACCGCTTAGATCTAAGTTCAATATCTTGCCCAAGGTCATTCAGTAAATAGGTGATGGTGCTAGAAATCACACTTGAGCAATTCCCACTTGAGCAATCTTAACCACCCACTACATATGTACCCCCAATATTAACCATAATCATTTGCTGAAGTCTCTCAATGTGCAAGGTACTGTAGCAAATATTTTAGATACATTTCCTTCTTGAACTTTTAATAACATTAAGAGTAGGTACTATTATTATCCCCAATTTAAAGAAGACAAAACTATGTTAAACAGCCTGCCCAAGATTACAGTTAGAAAGTACCAGAGGACTCAAATCATCTCATCACAGAACTCATAGTCACTATGCTGTACTACTTCCTTGTGTCCTGCTTTATTCCACACATGTATCTAGGACTTACATTAAGTCTTTATTTTTATCACAAGTACTATATCACTTCTTTACAAGTTAATCTTCCCCTATGAGAACAAAGCTTCTTATTATATCCCTGATAAGCAGAGGTATGCACACAAAGAAGTGATGATTCAATAAATACTTGTAGAAGTAATATTTCTAATCAATAATTTTCAAACTTTATAAGCTGTGATATCCTTTCTTCAAATGAAATATTACTTAAAAGCCCAATATTATTAAGGGAAAAACGTGGAGCTACTTGGATCAAGCAGCCAGAGACTCCATTTAGCCCTGCACTCACCTCTCAAAAAAAAATAATTGTACTATAAATTCACTTACTTCACAGGGGCTCGAGCATAAACCTGAAGCCAGTCAGGAATTTCTGCAGTATGATATGGATTTGCAGGTACTAGAAGGGACTGATTTCTTTCAGTTTGCTGTGGCTGGTATGTGACAGGAGGTGGTTGATCATACCGAGGTACGCTAAGAAGAAAGAAGTGACATTCATTAGGATAAAGGCCCTAACTTTAAACAAGAAATTACAAAGAATAATATTTAAGCATCTTTCAATGTGCCTCCTGCCCAAACTGACTTCCTTCTCCTCCCTAAAAAATAATTTCCTATAATAAAGGCCTGGCTTTCTTAATCATACTATAGGGAAGTAAAACCCACCTTCTCTTGGAAACTGGTACCCTGCTAGTGACAGATAGAAACCTAAGCTAAACTTTTACATATTTTTTAGGAGATTTCTTCTGGCTGGTATTTATTCAAAAGAAGCATATGTAAAACCTTATTTGTTGATGTTCTTGTTACAATTAATTAATATTGACAATTTAATTTAAAAATAAGGGCAGGTTCAAAGGAGGCCATAAAAATGTTGGAACTAAATTGTAACCTTTACACAGAAGCTTAAAACTATAATCATACATTTCTACTTAACTAGTAATTAGCTATAAATTCATATTGGAAAGATTGATATTTTCTTCCAAAATGAGAATGGATGTTTTCTTCCTCCTGTAAGCTGAAAGGGAGGGTTGGGATATAGTACAGCAGGGTTGAGTATGGGGCTTTAAATATCCACATTAAATGTAGATAATTTTTCTCATTTTACCACCTTAAGAGAACATATGGGAGTTAGAGTTGATTAAAACCTATTTTAAATCATAGAGACTTAAGAAAAGAAAAAGAAAAACGAAAAGGAAAAGAAAAAGAAAGAAAAGAGAAAAGAAAAAAAGACCATACATTAATCAGTGCTAACAGCCTGTTTATGCTGTGGGGGGAGAGAGTAGCAAACTAGGGAGGGGGGTACCAAGTGTTAAGGAAAGCATTGAACTATCTGAAAGTTAAAGACTGAATTCTGGGAGGCAAAAAAATTTCGGACTGAAAAGGGTCTGCCTTCAAACACAGAGATTCATGTGTACATCAGAAAAGGCCACCGTTTACTAAACTGGAATTAAAATAAGGGTTAGGATACACTGTGGCTATCAATTTAGAGATCAACATGCAAATGACACTGAATTTTATCTTCTTTTCTAAGTTCAAAGGGAAGAAATGAGGCTTTGAAGTTAGATATGCCTGGGTTTTCACCTCAGTTTGAACATTTACAAATTGTACAAATGTAGGTAAACTGCTTCACTTCTCTAAGCCTCAGCCTCCTTAGTTGTAAAAGTGGAACAATAAATTCATACTACAAATAGTTATTCTCCGGATTAAATGAGCTAATGTAAGCCAAGAGTTCTGTATAAGGACTGCCATAATATAGACAATCAAATAGCTATTAGTACTACCTGAGTATAAGGATAGTGTATATTCTCACACTGTTTATTTTCTCCTTTTTAACTTGTACAGAGTTGCTGCAAGAAGCAAATCAATTAATTGTGAAAGTGCTTTATAAAGTATAAAAATTCTGTAATAATATAAGATTAATGATGAGGAACAGAAAAGTAAACTCTCAAATCTGGCTATCTGGACCACAAAGATCTCTGCTACCTGATGACAACAAACTGTAACAACAGGTTCGATTATTTTGAAGGACAACCTCAGTAGTTCAGTAAACACTGACTGGGTGCCACTAAATGGAATCCCTGGAAAAAACTGATTTTTAAAGTTGAATCAATAAATCCAAATATGAAAAATAATTGAAACAACACAACAATGATAAAGCTTAGTTTTCTAGGTGACAATACTAAAATGTATTTTCACAATTTTAACACTCCTAAAAAAAATGTCCACTATAACCAAAAATCTGTATTATACCAGATAACACTAAGAAACATCTATCAACATGCTGATGATATTTTACCCATTTTTAATCTTATGGCTCAGTTCTTGAAACTCAAATATGGTTAATTTGAAATACTTGCAAGTTCATTATTAAGCTAATACTAGCTTATATGTACTTCAAAACCCATTGTGTATTTATACTTACAGCACATCTCAATTTAGATTAAACATATTTCGAGTCCTCAATAACCACATGTGAAACTGACTACAGTATTAGCATAAGACTAAAAGTCTGGTAATAAACCAGATCTAGTGATAAACCCAGTATCAATCAAAATAGACCAAAGAAGTGCTAACAAATGGTTCTGGGATGTTTTGTCAAGTCCTAATTTTTGCTTTCTTATCTGGTAACAGTAAAAAAATATATATACATATATATATAATTATGTATGAAATGGAATAAAATAGCAAAATGTTATAATTCAAAAGTATATTTTTACTTAATAGGAGTTAGTCTGTATTATTTGTTGTAATTTAAATACAATGATTTGTATTTAAATACAATGTTTATTTCAACTTCTGGTTATTTACAACAAAAACATTCTGGCATATTAAAGCAAATCTGATAAGAACACTGATACTATTTCTGAATTTGTTTAAAAAGAAAAGTGGTTTTTTTTAAATGATTAAAGACATTAATACTAAATGTAACTCCAGAGAAAAATGTCATAAAGTTTGAAAAGTAAGGTTTTGAAATCTCAAGCTTTAGGATGCCTTTCTTGTAGATGAAAATATGAGTCCAAAATCTAACATTAGGCAATCTCAAAATAAAAAGTTGAGAATAAAGTCAATTACCTAGGAGCACAGGGATGCCTGTACTGAGCCTTCTTATTTGTGTGATCTACATAATAAGTTCCAAATTCTGATGATTCAACTCTCTCCCATCCGGGAGGAAGTCCTTCTCGTTCAAGGGGATGGCTCCAATGAGTTGTATTTGTGTTATGATCTATATAATATTTTCTCCCTCTCATTGTCCAGTCCACAGACCAGCCAGGAGGAAGAGGTAAATCTTCAGAACCATGGTTAGTTAAATTTCCTAAAGATGTAGCAGCAACTCTCCCAATACCTACAGGGAGGAAAAAGAGAAGAAACAGAACAATTATTCTATGCTAAAAGGTATGCCAACTTAGAAACAGTTACAAAATTAACTATCCCTGGTTGTACTCTTCTGTTAAAATTCATAATTACTTCATTATAAAGTTTTTCATAAAACTGGCCAGTATTACTATTAATTACAAAAAAGGGAGGAACTAAACTTTGAAATTATTAGGGTTTTTGTTTTTTGTGGGTTTTTTTGGTTTATGCTTCCATTACCAAGCCACATAAACATAAAACTACAGGGTGAACATCCCTAATCTAAAAATCCAAACTCTGAAAAATTTTGAGAGCTGACATGACACCATAAATGTAAAATTCTACACTTGGCCTTCATAGAAGGAATCGTAGTCAAAACATAGTCAAAACTTTATTTTATGCAAAAAATTATTTAAAATTGTGCATAAAATGTCCTCAAGCTATGTGTAGAAGGTATATATGAAACATACACGAATTTCATGTTTAGATTTGAGTCCCATCCCCAAGATATATCATTATGTAAATGCAAATATTCCAAAATCTGAAATCCAAAATGCTTTGTGTTCCCAAGCATTTTGCATAAGGGATAATCAACCTGTACTAGCAAAGCTAGTATACTGCTATAGAAAATGCAAGAAAAAGAAAATATCACCTCATTCAAGATTTAAGATTTCATCAAAAAAAAAAAAGCAAAAATGAACTTGTAAAACCATCCCAGTTTATAATTTCTTAAAAATAATCTGGCTGCATCCTAGAATTACTAAGTAAGGTAGTATGGTATAAGGTCAACATACAAAACTTACTTAAACATCTACATACTAACAGCAATTGGAAACAAAAGTTAATGAAATAATACCATTTATAATAGCTCAAAAAATCAAATATTTACATATAAATTGAACAAAAGATATGCAGGATTGGTACACTGCAAACTACAAAAACACTGATGAAAGAAATGAAAGTCCTACCATGTTAATAGATTAAAACAATCAACAGAGTCAAGACATCAGTTCTCCTGAAATGATCTTTATGTTTAAGGTACAGTAGTCCTCCCTTATCCACTCCCAGTGGATGCCTGAAACTGCAGATAGTACCTAACCCTATATATAATGTATTTTCCTATACATGTATATATATGACAAAATTTAATTTGTAAATTAGACCCAGTAAGAGATTAACAACAATAATAGAACAATTGTAACAACATACTGTAATAAAAGTTATATTAATGTGTTATCTTAGGGTACATGTGATGTTTTGATACAGGAATACAATGTGAATTAATCAAATCAGGGTAACCATCACCTCAGGCTATTTATCATTTCTTTGTGTTAGGAACTTTCCAATTTTACTCTTTTAGTTATTTTAAAGAATACTCTAACTTATTACTGATTATAGTCACTTTGTCATGCTATCAAATATTGTTCATTCTATTTAACTATATTTTTGCCCCCATTAACCATCCCAACTTTATTCCCCCTCCCTACTACCGTTCCCATCCACTGGTAACCATTATTCGACTCTGTCTCCCTAAGGTTGTTTTTAATATTTAGCTCCCACATACGAGTGAGAACATGCAAGATTGTCTTTCTGTGCTTGGCTTATTTCACTTAACATAATGTTGTCCAGTTCCATCCATGTTGTTACAAATGGCAAGGTTTCATTCTTTTTTATGGCTATATAATATTCTGTTGTATGTATATACCACAATTTCTTTATCTATTCATCTGTTGATGGACACTTAGGTTGATTCCAAATCTTGGCTATTGTGAATAGTACTGCAATAAAACATGGGAGTGCAGATATCTTTTCGATATACTGAATTCCCGTTTTCTGGATATATACCTAGCAGTGAGACTGCTGGGTCATGTGGTAGTTCTAGTTTTAGTTTGTTGAGGAACCTCCATTCCTTCTCCATAGTGGTTCACTAATTTACATTCCCACCAACAGTGCACAAAGGTACCCTTTTTCCACATCCTCGCCTGTATTCATTATTGCCTTGTTGATAAAAGCCATTTTTAACTGGGGTGATATGATGTCTCTTTGTAGTTTCGATTGCATTTCTCTGATGACTAATGATACTGAGTATTTTTTCATATATCTGTTGGCCATTTGTATGTCTTCTTTTGAAAAATGTCTATTCAGATACTTTGCTCATTTTTTAATTGGATTATTTGATTTTTTCCTATTAAGTAGAGCTCCTTATATATTCTAGTTATTATTATAACCCCTTGTTAAATGGGTAGTTTGCAAGTATCTTCTCTCATTCTGTGGGTTGTCTCTTCACTTTGTTGATTGTTTCCTTTGCTGTGCAGAAGCTTTTTAACTTGACGTGATCACATTTGTCCAATTTTGCGTTGGTTGCCTGTGCTTTGGAGGTATTACTCAAGAAGTCCTTGCTCAGACCGATGTCCTGAAGCATTTCTCCAGAGTTTTCTTTTAGTAGTTTCATAGTTTCAGGTCTTAGATTTAAGTCTTTAATCCATTTTGATTTGATTTTTGTATATGATGAGAGATAAGGGTCTAGTTTCATTCTTCTGCATATGGATATCCAGTTTTTCCAGCACCATTTATTGAAGAGACTGTCCTTTCCCCACTGTATGTACTTGGCACTTTTGTCAAAGATTAAGTTCACTATGGATGTGTGGATTAGGCAAGACGACTTTAAAATGTATTACTGAAAGGCAAAAGAATAGCCAAAACAATTTTTTTAATAATATGACTCACACTATTTGATTTTAAGAGTTACTATAAAGCTACAGTAATCAAGACAGTGTGGTATTGTCAAAAGAACAGACAAGATCAATGGAATAGAACAGAGAATCCAGAAACACACCTCCACATACATGGCCAATTGATTTTTGACAAAGGTGAAAAGGCAATTCAGTAGACAAAGAGTTTTTTCAACAAAGGTGTTGGAACAATTGTACATTCATATACAAAAAAACCCTAATCAAAACTTATATCTCCCACTTCATATACAAATTAACACAAAATGGAATATATATGTAAATTTAAGATATAAAACTATAAACCCTTTAGAAGAAGAATATAGGATAAATTTTAATGACCTTAGGTTAGGCAAACAGTTCTTAATCATGATGCTAAAAGTTCAACCCATAAAGGAAAAATAATGATAAACTGGACTTCATCAAAATTAAAAATGTTTGCTCTGTAAAAGACAGTGTTAATGCATATGCAGACTCAAGAATAAAAAAAAAAAAACCAAAAAAAAAAAAAAAAAAAAAAATAAATAAAAAAAAAGAGTGTTAAGAGAAAGAAAACAAGTTATAAAATGGGAGAAAATATTTGCAGATCACATATTAGATAAAGAACTTTCATCTAGAACTCTCAAAACTCAACATTAGGAATTTAACCCTGAGGCATGCACCTGTAGTCCCAGCTATTCAGGAGGCTGAGGCAGGAGGATCACTTGAGTCCAGGAGTTCGGGGCTGTAGTGCTCTATGATCGTGCCTGTGAATAGCCACCGCACTCCAGCCTGGGCAACACAGCAAAACCCCATCAAACAAAGGGAGGAAAGGAGGAAGGAGGCAATCAACCTACCAATTAAAAAAAAAAAAAAAGGCAGAAATTTTAACAGGCACTTCACCAAAGATATATAGATGGCAAATAGCACATGAAAAAATGCTCAATGTCATAATTGGCTAGGAGGGAAATACAAATTAAAAACACAATGAAAAGCCAATATGCATTTATAAGAATGGCCAAAAAAAAAAAAAAACCACTCAAAACCTGACAATACAAGTTCTGATGCAGATGTGGAGCAACTGCAACTTTCATACACTGCTGATAGGAATGAAAAATGCTACAGCCACTCTGGAAAACAGCTTAGCAATTTCTTATAAAGTTAAACGTATGTTTTCCATAGGATACACCAATCGCATTCTTAAATATTTATCCTAGAGAAATGAAAATTCATCTTCACATAAACCTATATGGATGTTTACAGTGACTATATTCATAATTGTCCAAAGTGAAAAGAACACACACGTCCTTCAACAGAATGGATAAACAAACTAGTACAACCATACAGTGGAATGTACTCAGCAATAAAAGGAAACTAAGTATTGGTACATGCCACAAGATGGATGAATCTCAAAGGCATTATACTGAGTGAAAGCAGCCAGTCTCAAATGTCTAAAAATTGTATGATTCCATGTTTATGAGATTCTTGCAAAGATAAAACTACTAGGACAGAAAACAGTGGTTGCTAAGAACCGGGGGGTGAGGGCAGAAGTTGATGACAAAGGGACAAAAGGGAATTTTGGGGGTGATGGAAATGTTCTATATCATAATTGTGCTGGCATTACATGAATCTATACATATGTTAAAACTCAGAATTGTGTACATGGAAAAAAATTTAAATTTACTATATGTTAAAAAAAAAAAAAGGAATAACCTGGCTGTGTAATTTTATTCTCACACAAGAATATTAGTAGGGTATGTATAACAAATCACCCCAAAACTCCAGTGGCTTAAAACAAGGAGTATGTACTTAGTTCATAAGTCTACGATATAGGCTGAGCTCCGTGTTTCCTTGTTACTTGGTACAAGTTATTTTTACTGTATCATTACTTGATGCAAGCTATCTCTTACATGAAATAACTTCCCATATGATGTCCTATTTACATCAGACCCATTCCCTTTCTGACCTAAGCGACTATTTTCTACCCCTAATTTATTCTGTTCCAGCCATGCCCATCTCCTTGCTGTTCTCAAACATGGCAGGCACTGGCTGTTCATCTGCCTTAGAGCATTCTTCCTTCAGCCCTCTCCTTGGCTCACTCTCTTACCCTCTTCAAGCCTCTTCTCAAATATCTCAATGAAGCTTACTGTTACTAACTATGGTAATCTACATCTCCCAAGATTCAACTTACCCTGTTTTACTTTTTTTTTAAATCACTTTAACCTTTAACCTTATTATGTAATTTTAGTTTATCATCCTTCTTATCCCACAAGAATCCCAGAAG